GCCTGAAAGGTTAAATGAAGACAAGAGAAGTTAGCAAAATAGGCCTGATCTCTTTCCTCCTTTCCTTATCTCTCTACCCTTCTCCAGGTTCACAGATCTTCTCTTGTGGTCTAACTTTTCCTCTTACTATTATCAGAACATCTCTGGCTGGGATAAGATCAATGGTTTTTATACCTCTGTATGCATAAAACTCACCTAGAAAGCTTGTTTAAGTTGTCCACTAACTAACAGCATTAGCTTCAAATCTGCAAGAAATTAAAATTGTCCCACCCCATCCCAATTTACTAAATCATTAAGTCTGACTCTGGGACAGAGGCCAGCAATCTGTTCCCAAAAGCCATCTGGGTGATTGGATTCTAGCTAAGGTTTGAGAACCATTGGTACTGGGCAATCCTGATACAGCTGGTCCCTGAACACATTCAAGAGAAATTTCTGGACCAGTGCTGATCCTTTTATGCTTCTTCTTTTTTTAAAAGATTTTATTTATTCATGAGAGACACACACACAGAGGCAGAGACACAGGCAGAGGGAAAAGTAGGCTCCACGCAGGGAGCCTGACGTGGGACTCGATCCCGGGTCTCCAGGATCAGTCCCTGGGCTAAAGGCAGTGCTAAACCGCTGAGCCACCCAGGCTGCCCTCTTTTTATGCTTCTTACTGCATTTTATTATAATATAGTTGCTTGGATGCCACCAACATACTAATGAAGACTGATTTCAGACTAAAGTTTTTTTTTTTTTTTATGGGCAGAAAGTGGACAGCCTCAGCTCTCCTGGCTCCAGGCTAGCTTGTGGGGAGGCCATTTTCAATTAGTATTGATAGCCAGTATAAAATAACAAATTACTGCATCTATGTGTTAAATGTGGGAGGCAAAGCCATGGAAACAGCTAACCGAAAATGCAAGTAAGAGATTAACACTGAAAATTTACTGCAGATGTTGGGAAAAACTAGAGCTTCAGCAACTCTCCCCTTGGGTGGTCTGCTGGAATTATCCAGGGAGTTCTGAAACCCTGGCACTTTTAAAAGCTCCCAGGGAGATCCTAAATATGCAGCCAAAGAGAGCCTACTGTTAAAGGGTAAAATTTCATCCCTCATTCTGTTTTTACCTTTCTCTGCATTCCTTTCCTGGGAGACCCCACTTCCTCTATTAGGTTCTTTTGCTAATAAAATAACAATAGGAAGAAAGTCACAGGGAGTTATGGGAAAGGCACATTAAAATTTCAATGACTTGGGACACGGTTGAGCATCTGCCTTTGGCTCAGGGTGTGATCCCAGTCCAGGGAGGAGTTTCACTCACGTTGGGCTCCCTGCATGGAGCCTGCTTCTCCCTCAGCCTGTGTTTCTGCCTCTGTGTCTCTCATGAATTAATAAGCAAAATTTAAAAAATAAATTAATTAATTAAAAAAATAAAATTTCAATGACTTGAGTAGCCACATTGTGGCCTTAAAAATGCAAACACAACAAACATCAAACATTATCAAATAAAATGGGTTGCTTTAATTTTTTTATTTTTATTTATTTTTAATTTATTTTAAATATTTTATTTATTTATTCATGAGAAACACAGAGATACAAGCAGAAACACAGGCAGAGGGAGAGGCAGGCTCCATGCAGGGAGCCCGATGGGGGACTCGATCCCTGGTCTCCAGGACCACACCCTGGGCTGAAGGTGGCGCCAAACCACTGAGCCACATGGGGTACCCGCTTTAAATTTTTTTTTAAAGTTAAATTCTACTTGTGTTTCCAGAACATCTAATTAGCAACTGAAATGATTTCTTCACCAGTTATAACTGAAAATATTCTACAATGTTTTATTAAGTCAGTGTGGAATGAGAAGATTCAATGTTCTTTTTTGGGGAAAAAATGTCAGTAATTTGGCCATTATCCACATTTACCACAGGCCAAGGATTATAAAATGTTTCCTCCCAATCCTGCTTTATAAAATAATGAAAACACTTGCATGAAATCCCAAAATTTTTAAGAAAAGTAAACAACTCCTGACCTTGTAAATCAAGTATGTTTCTGGGAAATTCCATAGTGCACTTTATTAGAGACTACTGAATTAGCTTCAGTTGGACTGCAAAGGCGACTCTCTTTGATGGGCAGCATAGCTTCAAGCAGTCCTATTCAGTGCCAGTTGGCTTAGTTTACCTCAATTCGAATTGGGGATGTTTTCATTCAAATGCATCATGGCCTCCCCATCCTATTTCTCAATACCTGTTCCCAATGCAACCAGTATAGCCCCCTTCCTTACCCAGTTTCTGCTCAATACCTGCCAAAGCGGTTGACAGAGTCCAACAGAGAAGGAGCCAATCATACCACCAACAGAGAAGATGGCCCCAGACAAGGACCAGAGGGAAGTGAGTAACACTTCAGTGGGAAGGTTTTCCGATTTCTCTTCCAAGGTGTAATTGAGAAAGTCCTTTATTATCTGCAAATTAAAATGATTGGTGGGCAGTTTTTTTTTTAATAAATTAATTTTTATTGGTGTTCAATTTACCAACATACAGAATAACACCCAGTGCTCATCCCGTCAAGTGTCCCCCTCAGTGCCCGTCACCCATTCACCCCCACCCCCCGCCCTCCTCCCCTTCCACCATCCCTAGTTCATTTCCCAGAGTTAGGAGTCTTTATGTTCTGTCTCCCTTTCTGGTATTTCCCACACATTTCTTCTCCCTTCCCTTATATTCCCTTTCACTATTATTTATATTCCCCAAATGAATGAGAACATATAATGTTTGTCCTTTTCCGATTGACTTACTTCACTCAGCATAATACCTTCCAGTTCCATCCACGTTGAAGCAAATGGTGGGTATTTGTCGTTTCTAATGGCTGAGTAATATTCCATTGTATACATAAACCACATCTACTTTATCCATTTATGACTTGCCTTAGGTCACATGTTTAAGTAGATGATAGAGTAAGGCATAATACTTACCTTAGGGCTCCAAAGAAATAATAGTTAATGAATAGCACTTTGCTATTGCCTACTCAATAATGACTTATTTTTAGCTTATTATGTGCAGGGTCCATGTTCAGGGCTGGGAACTGGGTCACAACAGTGAACAAGGTAAGGTCCTAGGACCCCTGGCTATCATGAGATTAGGAGAATTGGCACACACTCATCCAACTGATCGTTGGTGCCTCAAGACCAAAACAGATGTCTTCTGCTCAAGAAGTTCTGAGCAGAACTTCTCAGTTCTGCACTGAGAAGAACAGTGCACTACTCAACCAGTTCTGTTTAATCTTCTAGAAGGTTTGGTATTGATTTTACAGAGCATCTTAAACTCATCTGTTACGTGGTTCTGAGCATGCTGTATCCCTGATTCAGAGAAGAGGAAAAAATAAAATCCACAATCACACTGGGCACAAAAAGCCTACATGAGTTTACCCAGAAATTTCCCATGCAGAGCGTTTTGTGTTGAATTGATAGTACCTAAAACAGCAACACTTTTTATAACAACAAGGATTACTGTAACTGCAGCATTGTTTTATTTGGGGTTACTAAATGGAGAGAAACTGTTATCCTAGCATTTTTCCTAGTGCTTTCATGGGACAAGGATCTTTGATCCAAATATGTGAAATCACAAATTCTGCGACCTTTCTCTGGCCTCAAGTGTGGATCTATTGGTGTCTGTTGGTCAGGGGGGTGGGCAGGTTGGGTTTCAAGCAGAGGTCTCCAGTTAGGGACTGTAGGTAATTAATGTGAAGTGTGGTCAAGATTTCAGAGAGCTCTTCAAAGAGGGAAATCCTTAAGGAGTATGAGGCAAGGCATGGTGGGGGGCAGGGAGCATAATGTTCCCAAGACCAGAATCTATTATTTTAGAGCAATCTGGTCCTTTCTTAAAACCAATAATAGATTAAGACTTGAGGAATGTATTTGGCTGGCCTAATGTTGGAAGCATACAGAATAATGTTTTCCTCCTGTCCTTGAGGCTGTTGCCGAGAGGCTGGTAAAGCAGAGAACTGGTAAGAAGGAACTTGTATACAGTTGTGTTACTGCTTGCCTGCCCGACTGGCTGTCACCTTCTGTGTCGTGGCAGTTGTTAGAGGTTTTGAGGGAGCCCATCTTGGAAATGCAGAGAGTGCTGATAGATATAGGGGCTTCTACTTGGATGTAAAATAACTTAGCGTAGCAACTGGAGTATCATAGATGTTCAGTACTTGTCGGTCTCCCCAGCCTCCCCAGTGGCACCCTGATCTTTTCCAACATTCGTTGAGCATTTACTCTGCTCTGGCCTCTGGTATGTCAAAACACAAGCTTTAGGGTCAAACAGCCCCAGGTCACCTACTTCCACTTCCTCTGTGTTTAACCTGAGGCAACTAACTTGCATTCTCTTAGCCTCGGTTAGTTTAGCCTTTATAATGGGGGATAACAGTGCATAGTCTACAGGATTATTGAGGAATTAAATGAGATAAAATACATAAAACACTTAACCCACAGCCTGGCACATAGTACCTACCTAAAAAAAAATGTGTTTTCCCTCCCCTGCTTTATGGCCTTCCTGGGTGGGTTAAACAGAAAGTTCTTTTGGCTTGGCAGTTCCTTCCAGCTTGGTGCCAGCCTCCTGTTGAATGTGCTATCTACCCAGTGCTGTCTGCCATAAAGAGTGTCCACATCCCATACCCACACCCCTGCCCTGGAGCTGAGGCTTTGGTGGAACCAAACTGGGTGGGCCCAGGGGCTACCCTTGAGTTCTTGCTCTAATTCCAAAGCCGAGAGCCACAAATACAGTTGATCCTTGAACAACAGCCGGGGTTAGGGGTGCTGACCTCCTGCAGCCAGAAATCCATGTCCAGCTTTGACTTCCCTAAAGCTTAACTACCAATAGCTTCCTGTTGACTGGAAGGCTTAAATAGCAATGGCATAAACAGTCCATTAACACATATTTTGTATGTTGCATGTATTATATACGGTATTCTTACAATGAAGTAAACTGAAGAGAAGAAAACATTAAGAAAATCACAAAGAAGAGAAGATACATGTACAGTACTGTACGATATGGAAAAAAAATCCACATGTAAGTGGACCCACACAGTGTTCAAACCTGTGTTGTTCAAGGGTCAGCCGTATTCTGGGAATTGCTTAAAGCCAGGGTGATGCCTTTTCCCTGTGTACACATTATGGGAACTGGCGCTGAATGAGCCTTTGCAACTTCAGACCTGAAATGTGCAACTATTCACCCTGCTTTGCTTTTGTGTCTTGGGAACAGATTCTTTTTTTAATTTACTTTATGATAGTCACAGAGAGAGAGAGAGGCAGAGACACAGGCAGAGGGAGAAGCAGGCTCCATGCACCGGGAGCCCAACGTGGGATTCGATCCGGGTCTCCAGGATCGAGCCCTGGGCCAAAGGCAGGCGCCAAACCGCTGCGCCACCCAGGGATCCCTTGGGAACAGATTCTAAGAAACAGAGGAAACAGAGGCTTCTTTAGATGTAGGTTCCCTTCCCCCACACACACATCCTCTAAAGACAGGTATTGACACCATTCTTTTTTGAGCACTTCCTATGTACAGGTACTGGGCTAATTGTCCAAGACAAGAGAAAAAAATGGGCCACATCATTCCTTAAAAATGTCTAACCCTACATCACGTTTTGGGGAAAGTGATGAATCACTGGGTCACCTTCTCCATTCAGGTGCGGTCCTCTCTTACTCAGTAAATCCCACCCACGCATAAACTCTGCCTTCCCACTGTGACTGCTGAACTTGAACTTGGACTAGAATGTTCACTACCGTATTTTTCTAAGCATCTTAGGTGAGAAATTGTTTGTCTTGCAGCCTCCCTCCTATCTACCCCACCCTGCCGGGATGTCATTATCGAAATAGAAGACACCAAACCATTACTGGCTTCGAAGGTAGGTTTCAGAACTAATCATTGGATAATGTCAGTTTTATTTTCCAGGTGCTTAGACATTGGGTATATTAATCAAACAATCATTCAATGCAATTAAAAACCAGTTTGTCGAGAAGATAATAGAATAAAGAATCCAATTCTTACACTCATCAATAGTTAAGATGACATTGCGTAGACTAGTGTCCTCTGCCCTGGGTCACCCAAGATGCTTAAAATAATACCCAGACCAGGCCCTACCTACACGAGGAAGACGGGTCTAGTAGACATCAGTATATTTTAAAAATCTCTCCATGCAATTCTAATGTGCAGGCAGGTCTGAGAACCATTGGTGTGGACAGCCTGAATGATACCATTTGCTAGAAAGAGAAATTTCAAGAGACAGTTTGTAACACAGAACATTCAGAAGAGGGACACACAAAGCAGAGCAGGTTTTTTTTCTCCACATGAAGGAGAAGTGTCATGGATTTTTAATGACCCAATTTGTCCGAGTATGGGGTATCTTAGATTTTTATACTCACTCTGGTTTTGAAGTGAAGAAATTGGTGGTGATGCTCACTCAGGACCCTATTTTAGAACCATTCCAGCCAATTCTACAAGAAGGAAAGGGAAAAAAAATTTAAAGGTCTCAGTCCAGAAAAAAAAAAAACATCAAATATCTCTCTGTTTGTGTTGGCATTTAGGATGGACTTTCACAGCATGTTTTAATGTGCATACTGGCCAAAGAATGCACATGATTGCACTTTAATATGTTATGTCCATAAACAGTGCCTTTTAAAAAATTCACTTCCTTCCCACTTCATTAAGCTCACTAACAACTGGACCATATTAAATGTGGTCTCCACAGCCAGCACTGCATAGCAGTGTATCTGATTCTGTTCCCTGGGAATCCTCCACAGTCACAAATGACAATACCAAATTTGCAAAACTACCACATTCACTTTGTAAACGACCTCACATATTCCCAACAAAACAGTAGTGGTCTAGAGAGAAATTAAGTATTGTATACTTAAGACCCTTTATGTACATTTTCACAACTGCTCTGGAAAAAAGCAGTTTAAGATCCTGTTCTATCATCTGTCTCCAGTTTCCCTACTTCATTGTCAAACAATTCTTTTTCACACCTGCTGCCTACACAGTAGCCCTACATGGAGTGGGGGATCAAGAGGAACGAGGCCAATCTATGCCGATAATCTCACTCATTTCTTAGTAATAGTTAACAGACGACTGGGTTACTGCAGCAACACATTGTAAAAGTTGAGTTTACATCCTGGTATCTGAGTTACAGCCTAACAGCTTTCTGAGGTTTCAGTGACCCACAGTCAGTAGCAGGTCAAGTGGTCGGGAAGCAGATCATCAGAAGGTCACTGACAGAAGCCTAACACTGCGTCACAATCCTTACATCATCCGCCTCACATCATCTCACACGTAGGCATTTTGTCATCTCACATCATCATGAGAAGGGCAAGTTCAGCACAATAAGATATTTTGAAAGAGACCCCACATCCACATAACTTACTACACTCTATTAAAATTGTTATATTTTATTATTAGTTATTGTTGATCGCTTACTGTGCCTAATTTATGAATTAAACTTTATGGTAAGTATGTATGTATAGGACAAAACATTGTATGTGCAGGGTTCCATACTCCCCACAGTTTTGGGCATCAGTTACAGGTCTTGAGAGGTATGCCCTGCAGATAAGAGGGGAGCACTATATGGAGAATGACTTTAATTCAGCTTGCTCTGCTAACACCTCGCTGAGGTCCACGTGTTAAGAATGGCTGATTGGAACCTCCCCTAAAAAACTGGCTCTGCCTATTCATCAGGGAAGACAGTACACATCTCTGCAAAGTTGAATGAACCAAGTTGAGCTTTGGAAGAGCCGATAACCAGCTTGCTGATGGGCATACATTACATGTACACGTGATGTATGTTTAATGGACATCTGTTACCACTAACACAATCTGGGTAAATTGAGAGAGAGAGTCAAAGCTCACTGTACTGTGGATGCATGCTGGAGGCTCGAGCTTTGGGTGACAGTCTCATGCTCACAGAAACTCACACCGTTACTGTGAGAACCGTGGGAGTTCTGAAGTGGGCTCAGCACTACCACCAGAAAGGTGAGAAATAAGTACTTGGGACAACCTGGTAAGTGCTTGCCAGGTCACATGGACATTCCTACATGGCCATTTCAACCAATACCTTCCAATTCCAGTGCTTAAGCAGTTTGTCAACAGCACTCAGCAAAATGGCTTCTCCAACGACAGTGCATGTATGTATGATAAGGGAATGCATGAGGCTGCTTGGGACTGGGGGAATCTTGGTCTGAAGACTTTCATTCTCCTTTCAGATTCCTTCTAATACTAGATTTTGGAGTGAAAGGTGATCTTTAAACAAATATGATTGTTTTAAGCCTAAGGGAGACTCTTACTGTGTAGATACCATAAAGCAAGTTACTTTGGTTGCTCCTGTTAACTTTTCTGCATGAACTATTGAGCAGACAGGTGTGAATAAATTCTCCCATATTAATCCTAACTTTTAAAATCAGGCATTTGTTTTGGGTTGTGCTTTCTAAATCACAAGCTATTCTTTTCTTTGAAATGATTTCAAATTGCTGAAAATAGATGTGAATAAACCAACTTTAAAAATCTTTTTTTAAAAAAATTCATGAACCATTTGGAATGTGAATGCACTTTGGGCATCAAACTCCTCTCTCCAAAATCTCAATTTGGCTGTGATTGAACCTTTAATCCTGCTTTGGGATGAATCTAATATAAGGAATTATTACATCTGTCTGTCTCTCTGCCTCTCTTGGCAGTTCTGTGTGCTGAATAAACGTCACCCAGAGAACAGTGAGGGCACTTACAGAGGAAGCCCGGGGCCACCTCATACAACAGCTGTAGGGAGTGCCTGTAATGAGTTGTTCTCTCCTCACATGAAACATGAACTTTAAGTTAGGATTTCAGGAAAGGGGTCGAGATAGCAATCCCTCAGACCTCCCCTGAGAGTGAACTTGGGTGATGCACTGGGCAGGCATGAGGCAAACATTCAAGCCCCACATCCTAGTTCACCATTCTCTCATCTCTTGGATGTGCCTTGAGATCAGAGTTGGATTCTCCATGCAGAAGCTCAAATGGAAGCATTTGACCACGAGAAACTTGACATCTGAGAACAATTTTGATGGACAGATCTGTATCTGGGATTATAACAGAAGCATGGGGAGAAAGCAAGGAAAGGTTCCTATATGATGAAATTGCAGCCATACTAGACCCGAATATCTCATGACAGGAGTGTTGGAAGGGATAAGAATTAAGCCAAGTTGAGGAATACTTTAGGAGCTAAATGAAATGAAAAGTTTAGGGTAGGCAGATGAGCAGCTGCACTACCAGGCACCCCCACCCCACCCCTCCTGTCTTGGGACCACTGTGCTGGCAGACAATGAGATTCTCTAACTCTTGAAAACATGGGATGTGGTTAGCTGCCTCCAGCCTTTTCATTCTAGTTTTGTTGATAATTCATTTACACATTTTCAGAGACGAAACCAATAAGGTGTGTTTAATTATGAGGTCATCTTGAATACTTTAAAAAATTCATCAAAAATGTTGACAATATAAGGCATACATGAAAGTTAATTTCTCCTTCTCTCTTTCTCTTCAAACCTAATGCTCCTGGGGTCTACATATCCATGTGACTTTATATGGTTTGCCCTCTTCCTGTACACAGCTGACAGAAAAGGTAACTATTATACATGCTTTGCTAGATTTAAGATTCATTTTAGATTTTCTGCCTACAGTGGATATGTGAAGAAACTTTTTTTAATCCAGGCTGGGCTGGGTTACTAACTATAAAGGGGAAATAATTGTGTGTGTATGTATGTGTGTGTACATACATATGGTACACAGATAAGATATAGCTTTTCTCGAGTGTTCCTTCCCTGCCTCCACCCCACCAGACTGAATAAGCAATGAGTGCATCTGATGAGGCTCTATTCTTGTCAAATGTGTGAGTGGAATTTTAACAGCCTTTTATAAACTATAGGCTTCTGCAGTTACAAAATGTTTTACGAGTGATTCTGATATGTTGTCCCTTCTGTGCAACCACGCACCACCCATTTAAACCAGAGGTTCTGAACACTGGCCACATGTTGGAATCACCTGGGGAATTTATGGAAGCATACTAGATGCCCAGGACTCACCCAGGCTCATTGGATTAAAATCTCCAAGGATGGGTTAGGAGCCACTGGTCTAAAGGACCTAGAATGCCTCCCTGCTTTTGTTTCACATTTTATCATTTTTTATAGATTTATTATTTGGAAAAGAGAGCATGAGCAGAGGGAGGTGCAGAGAGAGAGGGAGACAAGCAGACTCCCTGCTGAGTGAGGAGCCAGATGTGAAGCTTGATCCCAGGACCCCAAGACCATGACCTGAGCCAAAACGAAGAGTTGGATGCTTAACTGACTGAGCCACCCAGGACCCCACATTTTATCATTTTCAAAGCTCTTTCTCTAATGATCTTACTTGATTTCCCAAACAACTCTCTGGGGCAGATGGAGACAGGTAGTGTTATTATCCCACTCAGTAGATGAAGAAATTGAGGCTCAGAGATATCAGACAACTTGTCCAAGCTGGCACGGCTTGTAACATGAGGCTGTATGTGGCTTATAATATAAAGGATGTGACTTGAACTAGAGCCAGTTTTTCCATCTCTCAGCTTAGTTTTGTTTTATAATGCATTGCTGGCTAAAAAGGTTAAAGAAATGTAATAGTAGAAAACATAAATGGGAATTTAATTTATTTGTATATACAAATACCAAAACAACAGCATAAAAAATAAAATGAAACTAACGAATAGGTTGTGTTCATAGGATGTAAGAAATCATCTAGTATAGCTGTCAACATTAGAGCCAAACACGTTTCATTGGCTGCCAACGATGATCATTTCACCTCCAGCTTCTGGGTAGAAGAATCGTGGATGCTGAGTCCATTGTGCATATAAACAAAAATGCTATAACGTTCCCTGTTTCAAGTTTAGAAGTATCTATTTCTCTTACCTATTACATATGGGGTTTCTGCATTGATTGGAAATTTACATCAACACTAAAGATGTTTCCATTTGGATGTGTCTTTCATTAGGAGGAAGAAATCGTTGACTGGTGGAGTAAATTTTATGCTTCCACAGGAGAACATGAAAAATGTGGACAATGTGTTCAGAAAGGATATTCGAAACTCAAGGTACCTGAGCCTATGCTGTTGTGGGTGAAGGATCAGCATCCATTAAAACAGACCAAAAAGTCCAATGGAGGGTGCTGATGGGGAAGGGCCAGGAGCACCCCTGGCTTCCTGGAGCGTCCTCTTGTAATGGGCTTTGGCTTTGCCAGGGTTCCATGAGCTTAAGGACAGGTCTTATATGAATCTCACTTTGGGGCAGGGGGCTGATGGAGGGTTGGGAACGGGTTGGCACCACACTAATTAGGCCAACAATTATCCGGTTTGACCCAGGGAATCCTAAAAGCCATACTCTTGGAGAATAGCATGAAATGTCAACATTTCTCATTCTGTCCTCCAAATGGGCATCATGCCTCATTCTGTCCTCCAAATGGGCATCCATTTCATTAGCTGAAATTTTTATTGTTACATGAGTGTAACATTCCATCACAAATGTTCCATGCAATCGTGGGTGCATGTTTCCAGGGGAAGGCAAACTGTTGAGCTAGGCAGATCTGGCTATCTGTGATTTCCCGGGCCAATGTTTTGAGTTTCAAATTCCTCATTCCAATTTTTAGATTGTAATTAATGCACTTAAGTAGAAGCAAATGTTAAAGTTTTCCGAACATTGCATGGGGAAAGAATCTTTAAAATGAGAAATATGTAGCCATTAAAATGATTTTCCCCATCAAAGTAGAAAACCCCCACCTATTTTCATGTTATCATCATAACATCTCAGTGCAGCTTAAGAAACACCAGCATGTAAGAACCACCAATTTAGAAAAATGATCAAACTGGTCAAGTAGGTCAGTCCCAAATCTACCCTCCTTCCTCTTTCTCATTCTTGGTCTTCCTCTTCTTCTGTTTTTTTTTTTTTTTTTTTTTTTTTTTTTACAGAGGTATAGTTTACATATAATATTCTATTCAATGTGTTGTGATAATTATATACATCTATGTAAACCACCCCCTAAAACAGGGCAGAGAACATTTCCATTACCAGGGTGAACTCCTTTGCACCCTTTTCCAGCCAATAATCCATACTCCCCCATCTCTCCTGGAGTCAGCTGATCTGGTTTCATCACCATGGATTGCTTTTGCCTGTTTTTATACTCCATATAAATGAGCTCATACTATATGTATTTTATGTGTGTTTGGCTTTTTTAGCCCAATACTGTCATTCTGAGATCCATCCTGCTGTCCTGTGTATCAGTAGTTTGTCCCTTCTTACTACTGAGCAGTAAGTGGTCCATTGTATGGATAGACTGCAGCGTGGGTATCCATTCTCCTAATGGTGAAGCTGCTTCAGACCTTCTCGTACCATGTGGACATGTTTACATTTTTCTTGGATAAAAACTTAGGAATTTAGTCTCTGCATCATAGAATAGCTGGATATTTAACTTGATAAGAAACTGCCAGATGTTTTCCCCAAGTGGTTGTACCATTCTATACTTGGACCAGCAATGTGAGGGTTCCAGTTGCTCCATCAACATCCCCATGCCCACTTGGTATTGTCAGTCTTTTTGATTTTAGACTCTACCTGTATTTTAATGAGAAATTAAGAATCTGTTGATGGTTTTCAGATATATGATTGTGAACTAGAGGATGTAACAGAATTTGAAGGCCTGACAGACTTCTCAGATACTTTTAAGCTGTATCGAGGCAAATCAGATGAAAATGAAGATCCCTCTGTGGTAGGAGAGTTTAAGGTGAGTAAAATGTGGGATTTTGTGCTGTTTCAAATCCACCTTTCATTCTTTATAGACTTAGGATAAAGAACAACCAGCCTCTGGGGCAGGGACCTGTCCTCTGACATCTGGAGGACGCTAGAAGCTAATGACAAGAAAAGGGCCCCTGGGGTTGAGGGTGGAACCTTCCAAGCCAGTCTGTTCCTGTCTCTCGCCCTGCCCCTGCCATCCAAGCCTGAGTCCTGCAGCTTGAGCTTCTCCAAGCCCTCATCTCTCTTCCCTATATCCTGCCTCCTCCCAGGCTTTCTGCAGGTGACCTGCAGCAGCTTCCAGATCTCTCGTCCTCACCACCTTTCTGTCCACTCCAGTTTATTCCCCATGCAGCCAAATCTAATCCTGTTTCTTAACTACTGAAAGATGTTGGGTTTCCAGAGCTCAAGTCTCCACTCCTTCCTGAGGCGGAGCTGGACTTTCACAAGCCACTCAGCTCCCAGGCCCCCTCGCCCTGCTGCTCAGGACCTCTCCCAAGCCCCAGACACACCTTGTCCCCTCACAACTTGGAGCCTTGGGACAGGCTCTTCTGCCTTCCTCTTTGTGGTTGGACAAACTCCTACTCATCCCTTTCAAGGCCAGCTCAAGTGTCACATTCTTTGTGAAGTGTTCCCTGATTGCTTCTGGCGGATTGACTCACTCCTGCTCTGGGCTCCCACAGGTCTGGTTCCAGCCACCATTAAAGCACCTTTCACATCGCACGTATGGGCTTTCGTTATGGCCCCACCCTCTGATTGCAGGTGGCAAATCCAGGCAGCGGTGCTGCTACTTCCTAATCCTTTCCAGTAGCAGACATCGCTAACCTATCAGGGCATTCTACCCTAGCCATACTCTCAACATCCTGTAGCTTCCCAGCAAGCAATCCAAGAAGGCCTGAGAGTCCAGCCTATTTCACATCCCTGTGCCAGACTGGGCTCCTTGAGCTTCTTTTGGGATTCCCAATACCTGGCACATAGTACAATCAGTGCTTACTTCACACTGCTTTGCTGAATGAGTGTAGCTGGAACTAAGACCTACATGGTTTGAATCCAACTTGAGTGCTGGTTTCAGGATAAAGTATATGGCATGTCAAGCTGGCCTGATGGCTCCCTCATTCAAAAAAACACTTGTTGTACCCTGGCAACATGCCTAGCCATGTGTTAGGTCTTGGAGACAGAGTGATGAGCAAGACATAATTCCCACCCTCAGGAAGCTCCCAGTCTCATGAAGAATGCAGACAATAAATAGACAAGTAGAGGCAGAGGTCAGTGCTGCAACAGGGGTGAGGGCAGCTTAGAAGAGCAAGTTAGGAGACGTATCCAACCCAATCAGGGAACTTTCCTGGAAGAGGTGACACTTTTTAGTTGAGACCTGAGGGATGAACAGGAGCTTTCCTGGGGGCTGGGAGGCTTACTGGGGTGACGCCAGAAAAGGTAATCATCCTTTGTACTTTACTGGGTTTAAAATGTAATCACGTTTATTCCTATCTTCAGAACACGTGCAGTTTCACTCCTCACCACCTCTTTTGCCAACGTACCGATCCAACACTTGCCTAGATCTGTGCCTGGTCTCCCTGCTTCACCCTGCCCTTTCTCTCCCCTATGATCAGTTCAATAATTACTTTATCATCATTTCACACTCCCCACTGGAATTATGCGAAGTGTAATAAACATTGTTTCTTTCCCAAAAGGCAGCCCTCGTGACCCAACCCCATGGCCCCTGTGGCTGCCCTGGAGTGTACACGGTCGGGAAGGCAGGAACTTCCTGCCCAGACTACCATGGTCCTTGGGAGGACATCTGTGTGTCTTTCTCTTAGGGTTCCTTTAGAATCCACTCTCTGCCGGATGACCCCAGCGTGCCGGCCCCTCCCAGGCAGTTTTGGGAATTACCTGACAGCGTCCCACAGGAATGCACGGTTAGGATTCACATTGTTCAAGGCTTAGAGCTCCAGCCCCAGGACAACAGTGGCCTGGTAAGAGTTTGGGTGTGGGGCCTTCTCCTGTAGCAAGATAGTTACAGTCATCAGCCCCAATAATTGTCATGTTCTTTCTTTTGGGGCATCTGTTATCTCACTAGAGGAAAGATACTCTATCCAAACAATGTATTCGGGGGGATTGTCCCAATGGGGATTTATCTGAGAGCTTGAAGGGGCTTTGAATCCTCTGGTTCATGCTTCTCATTTTACAGATGTAACCTCAGCATTTGCTGGGTCCCTTCTCCCTGCCTCTACCTTTTCACCCCACGCCACTTCTCTGAAGGCAGCTGGCTGTGTGCCCCCCACAGGGGCACGTTGCTCAGACCTCGGCCGAGATGAGAGCGCCACAGCCACCAGCTTTTCATCACTGTGGGTGTGGAGGCTCACCTGAGTCCCAGAAACCGCCTTGAACTTGCACCTCATGGTCACATAGCATGCCATCTGTTTTGTCTCCGCAGTGTGACCCTTATATAAAAATAACACTGGGCAAAAAAGCAATAGAAGATCGAGACCACTATATCCCCAACACCCTCAACCCAGTTTTCGGCAGGTATGAACATTTCTAAATGTTTTCTGTCATTCATTTCTCATGGCTTAGCTGGTAAGGATGTGACATGTGCCAAGCACTGTTCTAGGCTCTGAAACTGTGACCATGAGTTAGATATTCTAAGCAGCAGAGCAGGTAGTAAGTGCCATGAGGAAAATAAAGCCAAGTCACGAGATGGGCTTCTCTGAGAGAAATTTGCTCCGAGCCAGGGAGGTCAAGGGAGCAGGGGGGCTGGGGGAGGGATGGCACAAACCCCAGAAGTCCAGGAAGTTTATGAGCTCTAGGCGAGGAGGACGAGCGGAGTGCTTCCCTATAGCAACGTGTTCATTCTCTCTCCCTGAATCCAGTCTGGGCCCTGTCCTCTGGGACATTCTGATTCCACCTTTTCCATGTATTAATGACCCTGTTGGCAAAGCTAAGGAGGGGGTCAGATGCCTTCTGTTCCTCAAGACTCTTGAAAAAGCTGTCGTTTCTTCATTGTTGCCACTTTATACTTGTTTCTGGGCTGTCACACTGACCTCATCAAGGGAAAGAGATCCTCCTCCAGGGAAAGGCAAATCCAGGTCACCTCTAAATGGGACCCATATTGTTTAGTTACAAACTGCATCCACATTTAATGATAGCTAACATTTGCTGAACTTTTAACTGAGTGCACGCACTCTGCTGAGCCGTTTATGTGAAACATCTCAAAAACGTCACAACTTTGAGATGCAATTGTTCATCCCCATTTGATAACAGAAGAAACTGAGGCATACGGTGAACCAGTACCTCATGTGCTTGGCTTGTAAAAGGCAGACTCGGGATGCGCACCCAGGCCACCCGACCTCAGGGGCTGTGTGGTATCCACACTAGGCTCTCAGTGGCTGCCACCATGTCATTTTCATGTCCATGTCCAGCCTATCAGCAGGGCAGGGCCAAGGTCAGCAGCCCCACATTATGAATGAGGGAAACACAGTGCCAGAAATCTGTCGACAGAGCTAGTCCATGCTAGGGCCAAGATTTAGGTAGTAATTCCTGACCAAGCCCCAGGCCTTTCCAACACCCTTCATAATGCTTCATATCCATGGCAAAGCCATCATGTGTAGAAGAAATGTTCTTTCTGCTGTTATTTCCCAGAACCTTGCCAAACGGGAGAATACTTTGTTCTTATTTGATGTGTAGCCTATAGTTTAGTTACTGGCTTTATTATCTTACCCATCCTCTCCTTTTCTACTCATGTTTGTTGGTTTGTGTCCTTATGCATTCTCTCCTGTGTGCATGCATGTGTGCACACGCGCGCACACACACACACCTTGAAGTCTGTCACTCAGAGTCTTTAAGGTTCACACATACTCTTCTCCCTCATACATGCTCACATCCTGTGACATACATGCACACAGAACCTCGTGTTCACTCAGATCCTGGGCACATGCATTCACACACCTGCACACAAGCACACACACACACACACACACGCACACACACACCTCTGCTGCACACCCCAAAGCTGCGTGCTGGGGCCAGGGAATGGAAGTAATCCTCTGGCATGGCAATATGATCATTTTCCTTTTCTTCCGCTGATCCAGCCCTGAGGTCTAGACAGGAAAAGGCACGCAGGGCAGGAAGGAGGGCTCCATGTGAGGGAGACAGGGAAGCAGGGGAAAGCCAGCTTTTATGGGAGAAAGATGGCCCTGTCTGTATTGCATGTCTCAGAGGAGCCAAGCACAGGCTTAAGTGGCAGGAAAAGTCCTGCTCAGAGACACCCTGGGAGGAAATGATGCTGTCAGGCTCTGCCAAGCCAATCCATGCCTGGTGTATATGCAGATTCTCTCCTCCCCAAGGAGATGTTGGCTTTGCAGCCTCTTGGATGGCTGTTGGTCCCTGGCTCAGTCTTAGGGGGTGACTTTCTTTTCAGCAGAGACCCTGAGGGGTGCTAGGATAGGAATTCAGAAAGGAGCAACCTTTCCTATGTGCTCAGCCATCATTCAGCATATTCCTGTCACATCATAGCAACATCCAGATCAGAATTCAACAGAATGTATGTCTTCTATAGAATGTTAATTGGTATTCTAGGAAAAAAGTATTCCTTCATCAAACCAAGACACTCAGGTTGAAGATGACTGCAGGACTTCTCAGAGCCTTTAGTTTGACCAGAGGGACTCCAAAAACAGTGGTTCTCAACCATATTTGACCAAGGAATTCTTTTTCTCAAGGAACATGTCATATATTCTAGTTTAGAATCCAGTTCTAAAAATGTGATATTATGGGGCATGTGTAGATACAGGGCTTCATGTATGGTCATGATTCATTTGCCTTTTCTCATGTGGCTACCTGCCTCTCCATGCCCCTTCCTGGCCACAGCCATCTAGAGAAGCCCCTGAGAAGTTTGCTTCCAGGGCCCCAGTGGTTCACACCCTTCTGCTGAAATGGATTAACATTCCTGGCTTTGGGGGCAGGAACTAGTCCACACACCAGAGTGCAAGGAGAAGGGAGGAGGCCTGGGGAGAGGAGGGATGGGAGAGGCCTCTCACACTTTCCCTTCACCAAATTTATGGAGCACCTACTATGGGACCCATACCTCTGTGGATGGTGCAAAGACCAAACCTCACCCATCCAGAGCTTATGCCATTCCGTTTATCATCCTTTCAGAAACTGCTCACCTGCCACAAGAATCTGAGATGTGTTTGCAGTTCAATATGAACTCTATAGAAAAGCCTTTAAGAAGTAATGGCAGACCAGAAGGCCTAGGTGGATGGAGGGACTGAGCCTTCTCGGCACCTTGCACATCACATGTGTTGGTGCACACCACTCACCACGCCCCTCCCTGGTGCTCTTATGGGGCAGTCAAGGATGTTCCGTGGGCTAATGGTCTCTGTTGAGGCAGAGGGCACATAGTAGGGGCACAGAGAGAGGGCTGTAAATCAGGGTGCTGCGTGTTTAAACTCCCAGCTGGGCAGAGATGCCTGGGTGTCCCAGTTAATATGCATGTGATGATAATGTTAATAATATTATAATTAATCGCTAGTATTATCATAGCTACTGGGTTTTCAGCCATGCAGTCATGCCAAATGCTTTCTAAACACTGCTCCACCTGACCCTTACAACCCAGGAGACGGTAGGTATTACTGTCATTATTTTACAGATGAGAAAACTGAACATAGAAAGGGTAAATAAGTGGCCTAGGGTCCCACAGCTCGTAAGCTAGGATCAATACCTCAGGGTTCACACATAGGTATTGAAAGCTGTGCTCTTCCCCTGAGCAAGCATATAACCTTGCATTGTTCTTATTACTAACATGCGCTGCTGCCAAGTGCCCCCACCCACTGCCACCCACCTGGCTGGCCCAGGCACCATGTTCTCCAGCAGCTGTAACCTCCACCCAGGGATTCTCTGCGCAAAGCCCTGATTTTTTTTGAGGGACCTGGATAGAATCATGGAGATTCTAACTTTGTGTTTGTTGATTTAGAATGTATGAACTGGGATCCCTGGGTGGCGCAGCAGTTTAGCGCCTGCCTTTGGCCCAGGGCGTGATCCTGGAGACCCGGGATCGAATCCCACATCAGGCTCCCGGTGCATGGAGCCTGCTTCTCCCTCTGCCTATGTCTCTGCCTCTCTCTCTCTGTGTGACTATCATAAATAAAAATTTAAAAAAAGAAAAAAAAATAGAATGTATGAACTGAGCTGCTACTTACCTCAAGAAAAAGATCTGAAAATTTCTGTCTATGACTACGACACCTTTACCCATGATGAAAAGGTGGCAGAAACAATTATTGATCTGGAAAACCGATTCCTTTCCCGGTTTGGGTCTCACTGCAGCATACCTGAGCAGTACTGTGTGTAAGTTGCTTTGTCCATGAATGTAGACAATTTTATCCATCCAACATTAATATATGGGAATGCCTTGGTTCTCTACTTCAGTGCCTGCCTTCTGTGAGCCACTCCTCATTTGAGTCAGATACATACTGTTTTTTTTATTTTTTTATTTATTTATGATAGTCACATAGAATGAGAGAGAGAGAGGCAGAGACACAGGCAGAGGGAGAAGCAGGCTCCATGCACCGGGAGCCCGACGTGGGATTCGATCCCGGGTCTCCAGGATCGCGCCCTGAGCCAAAGGCAGGCGCCAAAATGCTGCGCCACCCAGGGATCCCCATACTGTTTTTTTTTTAATTTTTTTATTTATTTATGATAGTCAGAGAGAGAGAGAGAGAGAGAGAGAGAGAGAGACAGGCAGAGGGAGAAGCAGGCTCCATGCACCGGGAGCCCGACGTGGGATTCAATCCAGGGTCTCCAGGATCGCGCCCTGGGCCAAAGGCAGGCGCCAAACCACTGTGCCACCCAGGGATCCCCCCATACTGTTTTTAATAATAGGATTATCTTTGGGAGAATAGGGCCAGAGCATTACTCAACTCCAGGGCAATGCCCCCACCTCCCTCCCACTCCTGATCAATCTTGTGATGTCCCTCTTTCCCTAAGTGCTATTTGGCATATTCCCATAGTGTCTAATGAGATACGGCCTGCAATTTCTACTTTATGAACTTGCCTATTGTGATTACAGTTTGTAGACAAACCTCTCATTTTTGTGGAGGTGGAAATTCAGGGGTGGGCGGGCAGGGAAAGGATGAGTTGGCTGAGGCCAACCTAATTGTGGATTTTAGGTCTGAAATAGATTTCTAGGCAAATGCCAAAGGGTAGAGCACATTCCCTGTTCCCTCATTACATGGACACACCTGTAAGTGTATATGTGTGTCAATCTAAGAAGAACCTCTGTGCCCTGGAGTAACTCTGAGTGTGGAATGTTATTTACAGTTCTGGAGTAAACACCTGGCGAGATCAACTGAGACCAACTCAGTTGCTTCAAAATGTAGCCAGGTTCAAAGGCTTCCCACCACCCATCCTTTCTGAAGATGGAAATAGAATCAGATATGGAGGGCGAGACTACAGTTTGGATGAATTTGGTAAGTGCATAACCATAGACTGCAAGCTGGTTACAAAGTGTAGCAACCTATCTATATTGCGGGGCCCCGCTCTGGAGGGGGGGATGGACAGAGTAGTGCCCTCATTATACCACAGGAGACTCCACACACAGGACTATCTAACAAAAGCCCCATTATGCCAGGTTTTGCTGTCTTGTCAAGTGTCAAAGTGCACACATTTTCTTGTCTGTCTTATGTTTTACTTGCCCTTTTGGTCATAGCCATTTGAGCTTTGAACACAAAGTTCTAGTAATTTCTATGTAATGCCTGTTTAGCTCATAATTAAGCTCAAAAGTGCTCGGGTGGTAATGCAAGAATTTCTCTTCCAGTCTTCTTCCATCATTCTTCCAGCCCTTCTCTGAGAAGGCTCAGGGATGCAGGGGTTTGGTTTGAAGAATCTTCTGAGTTCACATCTGGCTCATGTCTGAGCTTGGGGTCTTGCTCTTTCTCCAACAGTAATTTATAATACACTCTGTCCTGACACATAGCCATCTAGCTGTGCTATGACAAAGCCTGAAATAAACTTAATAGAGCAGAAGAGCTGTGATGTAATTCAGTGTTTTGTAGGGAGAGAGGGCTTCCAAGAGTGGGTGGCAGTGGAGCTGGCCTTGGAGGGTGGACAGGATGTCCAGAGGAGGCCAAATACAGACACATGGGAGTAGAGGTGCTTCCCTGATCCTCAACTGTTTATTCTTGACATTGCAAGAAACTATATTTTGTCCTTCCATTTGAAGAGGACTTAGTCGATATCAGGAATGATTAGATGCTTAGGAAATGTTGATGCTGCTGTCAACATAAGAACTTGCAAAAGGGATTGGGAATCAACTGGCAAGTAACATGGCATCATAGTTAAGAATACCCCTCAAATAAACAACTCCCCCCAAACTGTCTCAGTCATAAGGCTCATTCCAGTTACTATTGTTACCTAACAAATCACCCCAAAACTTAGCAGCTGAAAAACATCTATTTTGTTTTGCCCACAGTTTTGCGGGTAGGAATTCAGGAAAGGCTCACTGGGCAGTTCTCACCTAACTAGCTCATGTGTTGGTTGCTGTCAGATGTTGGGGTGGGGGAGAGCTATAGCTATCCAAAGGTTTGACCAAGCTGGGTGTCCAGGATGCCTCACACTCATGGCCGGCAGTTGATGCTGGCTCTTGCCTGGGGCTAATAATGATCAGAACACCTCCTCAGGCCTTTCCAAAAGGGCGATCACCAGAGACTCAAGCTCCCTACATGGTGGATGGCTTCCCTCAGAGCAAGCATCCCAAGAGGACCAACCAGAAGCTATATGGCGTGAGAAGTCACACAGCATTCTTTCTCTGCACTTTAGTGATCAGATAGGTCTCCAGATTCAAAGGAAGAGGACAGAGAACTCCACCTATCTGTCAGAGAAATTGAGGGCTGATTTGAAAATGCCACAGTGATGCTAGCTACTGTAACTATTAAACTTCCACACGTCAGTGGCTTAAAATAATAGAAGTTTATTTCTCAGAAGCTCACAGTAGGTATTCCAATGGGCAGCAATGCTTCATGGACTCAGGCCCTTCCACCTTGCAGCTCTGTTCTTGAACTCAGACACCTAACATTGCTGTTTCTTCTGCACCCAGAAGGGAACAGCACATAGAATCTCTCTCATGAGAGGGCTTTCTGTGCCAGGTCTAGAAGTGACACAGATGTCACTTCTACCTATGTTACATTCAAGCCCAGCTAGGTTGTGTGACCATACCTAACTGCAAGGGAAGCTGGGAAATAGAATCTGGCTGCAGGCTCCTGCCACAAAAGTAAATACAGGCTGCTCTCACTCACTGTGTTCTGGTCCCTTTGCTATTCCTGGTTGGGGCAGGGCCCATGGCCAAGAGTGACTTTTCTCAATGACTCATTCACAAACCCAAGTTTGCACACTGGCACTGCCCTTCTAGGATGAAGGGCTACATGCTCCTAAGGGCAATCTGGCTGAACTGTTTGCAGATGCCCCTCTCTGTTTCAATGCCACTCTCCATTCCAGAAGCCAACAAAATCCTGCACCAGCACCTCGGGGCCCCCGATGAGCGTCTGGCCCTTCACATCCTCAGGACTCAGGGGCTGGTCCCCGAGCATGTGGAAATGAGGACTTTGCACAGCACCTTCCAGCCCAACATTTCCCAGGTAAAAGAGCTGTCCCTCTGAAGACCCATCATCCACATCCCAAACACAAACACAGTGACAAGAGCTGACCCAGATTTGCCTCTTTTGTCTCTTTTGGACACTTTTAGATACACAAGAAATAGAAAGGCAGCTTAAATTAGCTTTATGCCAAAGGGGAATTTATTCTAAGAATTTCTGGGTAACTCACTAAATCCAGACAAGAGGATGACCATAACTCTGAACAAGCTCTCTCCCTGTCTCTTGTCTATTTCTCTCTCTGAATCTCCATTAGTCTGGGCTCTCTTCCTGTGATCACCTTTCTACGTGAAAGAATACTGTGGGCCATTTCTAAGGTTTTTATGTTATAATGTAGCCCCAGCTACTTCCAAACATGGAAAGGACTGGTTGCCCCAACTTGCCCACCCAGCCACCCTGCTGGACTGCTGACCAGCAGCCAGGCAGACAGTGCCTGGGGAGCACTGGGCTTGGCCCCACCTGGGTGAGCTGCTGCTGCCTGAGACCACAGGACACGAGATGGCTCATCACAGGGACCACGTGGATAGTGATAGGGGAGGCTCAGTTCTCAGGAGCTGGGAAGCAGTTTCCAGAGAAGCGAGGAGAGATGTGGCAAAGGCAAGAATGACCCACGAGGAAGCTTGTTCCAAGGAAGACTCCCGGCCGCACCTGCAGTCGTTCAGATCCAGTAGGTCCAAGGTGGGGTGGGGGTGGGGGCAGAATCTGAGTTTTAACAAGTAGCCGGAGGTGTTCTACTACAGGTGCTAGAAAATCACACTTAAAGTAGTATTAATTGAATAAGTGCAAATATTGTCAACAATGACCACACAACTGTAGATGAGCTTCTCTCTAAAATGTATAGTGGCAAGTGGCCTGGGCTTACTAGTTTATTTTGTCACTCATTTCTTGCTTTTATTCTGTTCCACATTTTCATTTTCTTATTTATTCCTTCTCCCAAAGAGCCCATTCCTCCTCCGCTCTCCCCTCCCACCCCTCAATTGGATAAAGTCTTAAGAAATTACAAAGTGAGGAAGATTTCTCCCTCCAAATCCACCCCTCCCTTCCACTTCCCACCCCCCATCAATTCTACCTACTGAACTGGACAGACTGTGACTGGGCCTTAGGAGACACCCAGATGCCTCACGTTCTGCATGGTGCCTGATATAGTATAGAACCTGGAGCCCTAGAGATTAGTTAGAGGAGACTCAGGACCAGAGAAAGATATGTCCTTTTTCAAGAGTTCCAGTTAACTCATTTGGATCACTGTGTGCTAGGAAGCCAATCTGGTTTCCTTGGTAACCTTAAAGACCAGCCTGAAGGCAGAGTCTACATAATATCCAAGAACAGTTTGGGGAATTTAAGTTGGTTCATACAGTTGATATGGTTTGTTAATGGCATTCCTGGCATGTCTGGAAGAACATTCTAGTCAGATAGATGGCCCTGGTCATGGCAATGGAAGACCTGAGCGGGACCTCACCAAGATGACACCACAAGTGTCATTTAGACTTTCACTTCTCCCCTTCCTGCGAGCCTCCTCCCAGGTGGTGGACACTAGCCAGCCATGGCAGGGATTCCTCAACTTTGGGGAACAGTAATGTTCTTGTCGTTTTCTGGATCTCTCCTTGGAAGTACCATGTTGTAAGCCTCTCTTTTACAAATTAAGTACCATTTTACAATATTTTTATTTTCTATCTGGAGGTAAGTGGAGAAAACCCTGTGTGTCACAAAATCAGGACTGATAACAAGCAGGCAATGTGATAAATAGAGTTCTGAGTGAAGGACGCAACTTTCAACTCACTGTAAGAGGGTACAGGAGCATGTGTGTGTGTGTGTGCGCGTGCGTGTGCTGGGGTTGTGTTCGCGATGGGAAGCCCTCTTTTTATTAGCCGGGGGACATTCAGACTATAATAGACATGGGCATGGGCACACGCAGCCATCGGAGACTCCTGGTGAGAGTGGGAAGTGCATGGCCTAAATGACATTGAAGATAAGATGATTTATCTTGGTTTGCTCTTCTACTCTACTTTTTCACTTTCCATATGCATTAATACATTAGCAGGCCTGAACAAACAGTTTCACCTAGAAAATGTGAAAAAAAGTTACAAACTCTACCACTCATAATACAACTTTTTTTTTTTCATTTTTGAATGATGTAGGGGAAACTTCAGATGTGGGTGGATGTTTTCCCTAAGAGTTTGGGGCCACCAAGCCCTCCTTTCAACATCACCCCCAGGAAAGCTAAAAAGTAAGTAATCTTAAGACCCTGCTATATTAGACTAGGGTCTTGGTGCCGGACCAGAGAAAAAAAACACCTTCAAAATGTGCTCCTTTCAGATACTACCTGCGTGTGATCATCTGGAATACCAAGGACGTCCTCTTGGTTGAGAAGAGCATCACAGGAGAGGAAATGAGTGACATCTATGTCAAAGGGTAAGGTTAGCATCCTAGTGCTAGCTTGCCTTTGACAAAGAAGGAGTGAAACAGACTCTCTCCTTTGTGAGTCACCATCATTCAACGTATCCTCTCTAGGATTCTTGGTCAGGTGAAGCTATTTCATTCCATTAATGTAGTTTGCTCAGGAAGCTCCAGCAAGATGAAGGGAAAAAGAGAAATCTGTATGGATCTTGTTTATAAGCAGAGGTATCTAATGGCTATTAGAGCCAATAAAAATTTTACATTTTTCTTTTAAAGTGGGTTCAGTTTATTAGCAGATTTGTTATTTCTTTTTAGTCCTGCAGTTCATTTTTATTCCTTTTTGATGTCTTGAGTAACTAGAAACACAAGTAAGACTTTTAAAATTTCAGTTTGTATATATTTTATTATCAGCAGCTAATGTCCATGGAAAAGATGAAACATTAGCATATGTCCAAAAAAATCTTTGATTTCACCAACATTTACAGAATGCCTACATCCAACGTGTAAAGTTCTGTCATTCTGTTACTTGTATCATTCAATTCCAAATAATCCATGTTGATGTTAGTTTCTTGTTATGCCCCGATCAAAGATGTCAAGTACAGAATGGCATAGTGATGCAAATGCCAGATTCTGGAGCCAAACTACCTGGATTGAAATCCTGATACTTTCCCTACCAGCTGGGCAAGTAGTAAGCTCACTGTTATCCATCTGTAAAATGCAGATAAAGATAGTACTCGCTTAAAAAAAAAAAAGATAGTACTCGCTGCTCTGATATTCAGAATATTGAGTTACTGAAAGCGTTTACGACAGTGCCTGGGAGATAGTAAATACTATGTGTATTAGGGTTCCCCAGAGAGTCAGAACAAGTTATGTGTGTGTGTCTGTGTGTGTGTGTGTAGAGGGAGGGGAAGAATCAGAAAGATAGAGAGGGAAATTTATTATTATAAGGACTTAGCACACATGATTATGGAGGCTGAGAAGTCCCATAATTCCAACATGTACAAGTTGGAGACTCAGGAAAGCCAGTGGGGTAGTTTAGACTGACTCCTCCTTCTGCCTCTTATCCTATTCAGGCCTTCAACAGATTAGATAAGGCCCACCCACACTGGGGAGGGACTCTACTGCACTGAGTCCACCAATTCAGATTCTAATCTTATCCAGAAACACCCTCAAAGACACACCCAGAATAATCTGTAACCTGGGCACTCCGTGGCCAGTCACACTGACACAGGAAAGAACTATCACACTGTGTAAGTGTTAGCTAGTATTATTACTATTCCACATGGACCAGGTTTGGTTCTTTGATATGTAAAAGATAAGATTTGTTGAAATTTAATATATTCATAAAGTGATAACAAAGTTTCACTTATGATCCCAAGTGGCCTTCAATCAAAACTTTGTTGAAGACATAATTACTATCATTTGGGTTCACTGTAAACAGGGAATGTTTCATCAAGTTCTTCATTATTCTTTCTCATTTCAGGATCTTATTACCTTTCCCCAAGGAAAACTAATCCTGGCTAATTATATATATGCAAATTTATTTGACTGTCATAAGCATTTTTTTTTCAAATCAGAGAAACAAACTCAAGAAATACTGTACTGAGAGAAAACTCTAATCAAAGAATAAAAGCACAACCTAAAGTACCACATCCTATTTGGAATTAAAATCTAAATACAATATGTGAAAAATGAATTATGCACCATCGCATGCTAATACAGATAGTGTATTACTAACCCTAATACACATAATATTTACTGTCTACCACAGAATAATGAACAGCTATGACCCTTCACATATTGGATACATACAAAATTATACATATGTGTACATAAATTCATAGGATAGTTGTTTAATTTGTTTTGAAATAAAAATGTGAAAAGGTTCATATTTAGGATTAAATATGAAAAGACTCAGGAAAAAAAGAGAGGGAAGAGCTTCAAGGGGTGAGCGGTCTAGGCAAGGAGGATGGTGGCACTTTGGAGCATTGATGTTACCAGGAAATGAAGTCACTGAGGGCCTAGCCAAAGAGTGTGATCTCTCTTCAGCAAGTTCATTTAAAAGCTTAAAAGTGGATAAAGATGAATCTTTCAATGAATCTAGCTAGTCAGTCAACCAGCAAAAAGTGCAACTGTTGTGTGGTTGATTGATATTAATACCACCACTAATAATAGGATCTAATGTTAGCATGTGACTTTCTAGTCTCCATGGTCAGCGCATCCAGGACTTCATAATTCTTAATACTTAATTCTGTCTGTTACTGGCTATGTGACCTTGTGGAACTTAGCTATTTCTGTCTGGACCTCAGTTTCCTAATCTGTAAAATGGATCAGTTATATAATTGTTGGGAAGAATAAAATAAGGCATGCTGAGTCCCTGATCCATGACAGATGATCAGTAACACAGTTAAGGACTTCCCCCTTCCCATTCTGGCCCTTCTAAGCCATGAGCGCCCATTCTGGCTTCATATTGACTAAGGGAAGGGAGCACACATTGTTAACCTCATTTACAGATGGGAGAGGAAGCCCAGAATGGTAAGTGGCAGAGTGAGTTCATAGCCACGCCTGCCTCCTACTAAGAATCTCTACTGGGGGCAAGGTCATCCAGGCATCAGTATTTTTTTTTAAACTCCACAGTTGATTGCAGTGTGAAGTGTGATTCTCACCGGCCATCATTGGGGAGGACTATGCACTCTGCCACCTTATCAGTCTAAAATCCCCTGGTTCCTCAATGGGCCCCTTCCCAATAGCAGGCAGATGTGACAACTTCTTCCCCTGCACGTTCATTCATTCCTTCAACAGACCTACTACATGCCAGGCACAAGCCACAGAAAACTTTCCAAATGTCAAAAGTTAAGATGTTAAATTGTTTATGGAAATGAATTTTCATAAATATGCACATGGAAATAACAGCTTACATCTCTCTTGCTAGTCTCATTAATATGATCATAGTGAATTTAAGAATAATAAAAAAGGAAGCTGTAAGATTACTTGAGTCGTGCCTATTTTGTTTGCTTAAGTAAAATGTAGAAGAGGAAATGCTAAAATTTTGAACTAACTCATATTCATTAAGCCTATCAGCAGTGATGACAGACACTGATGAGTTATAATTAGGAAGACTAGCATCATAGCCAGCAAGCTTCAGCATTCCCAAAATAGAAGCTAAGTTGTTGATATTTTCCAGAAAATGTCACCTTATCCCCATTAACTGAAGTCTAAAGGGTTTCCTGCTTTGGTTTTAGAGAAATTATGTTTTATTTGGCTACAACCAGTGTTGGATGCAACAGAGCAGATCCCCTTCATAAATCACCCCCAGCTCCGTAGATAACTGGAACCTGCCCAAGAAAAGTGCATTAATTCTCTTGCCCTTCACTCCCCTAATCACTGCACAATTTTGTGGCTAGATTACTTGTCAATCACATGAGGCTAAGTCTGTTTGCTTCTGCTTTTCAGCTGGATTCCTGGCAATGAAGAAAACAAACAGAAAACAGATGTCCATTACAGGTCCTTGGATGGGGAAGGGAATTTTAACTGGAGATTTGTTTTCCCATTTGACTGCCTCCCAGCTGAACAACTCTGTATCATTGCTAAAAAAGTGAGCTCTGCTTTATGCCCATGGGAAGTGGGTGTCATGGGTCTGCTTTAACAGATACGGGGGCTATAGAAGCTGTTCTGTGCTTCTAAGGTCATGAGTCCAGCTCCCTCTTGATGCAGATGGGGAATCTGAGACCTACAGAGGTACAGATACTTACCCAGAGTAACAAAACTAAGACAGCTATTTGTGCAATTAGGAAGTGTCAAGAATACAGTTGTCCTTCCCTAACATGTTGGCAGCTGGGTGAAGGATCTAGTAAAGGGTAGACCTGAGGGTCTTGTGTTAATATATGCAATAAGCCCAGTGGGTTTTTATGTCACAGAGAGACTGATTTCTTCCCATGATAAGCAGAACTGTTTGACTCATTAACCAAACAGAGGCAAAATATTAAAGTAGGTGAAATTTCCCTTTTACCTTCTTTATTAAACTTCAGCATCTGCTTTACCTCCTCCAGAAGCACTTCCATGAAGGTTCATGGCCCTCATGGTCTTAATTAGTTAAGACTCTAGTTACAGAACTCAACTCAAATTGGCTTATACTAAAAAAGTGATTTATTGGTTCACATTACTAAAAAGTCCAAGGCTGGCTGGCTTAGGAACATTGGATCCCAGGTTGAACTGATGTCTTTAGGAATTCCTCTCACTTTCTCCACCCCCGTCTTGCCTTCTCCCATGGACCGCATTCCGTGGTGAAGCAAGATGGCCACCAGCAGCCCCAGCCCACCTCCTGCCCTCCTAGCAACCTCAGCAGAAAGAGAAGAACTAAGTCCCGGTGGTGCCAACCAGACCTGTGGCGTCGGGCCTCAGAGTCTCTGTCTGTGTAGGGTCATGCTCCCATCCCTGAGCCAACCAATGTGGCCTGGGGAGGCAGTGCTCCAATGGGCCCAGCTCTAGAATCAGGAACAGCGTCACTTCTTCCCAAAATGCATGGACTGGAAGAAAGTCCCCAAGGAAAATCTGGATGCTTTCTTCCCCAAAAGGGGGCGGAAATCTGAGCAGGCAATCATAACAGATGTCTTTTATAGATCCCCTCCCCACCCCTGATCAAAATGCACCTGCTTCATGTCCCACCTCGCCAGACTCTACCCTCCGCTGGTGTAGGGAGCACTTTTCTGTGCCAAGCAAGATAAATGCCTTCAAAGGGCCCTTTCTAGAGACACAGAGGCTCAAACTGATGTCGAATCATGAACACTTCCAGATGGTGAGGCAGACTGGTGAGGAAGAGAGGTATTTAGGGTCAGGTAGGCCTTTCCTACGTATCTGCATCCAGTGTTGGACCTCTCCATGCCCTGAGTGCCACCTGAGCGTGACCCCACACACAATAGTCAGTGGGGCCAGGCAATAGCCAAATGGGCTTCCTAGCCCCTCAGAGCCAGGGCCCCTGAGTCCTGCAAAGGGCAACATTCCTGAAACGTCATTTGAAAAACATGAAACAGGGGCATCTGGGTGACTCAGTCAGTTAAGCTTTTAACTCTTGATTTTGGCTCAGGGTTGTGAGATCGAGTCCCAAGTTGGGCTTCCTCTGGGGAAAGAGGCTGCTTAAGATTCTCTCTGTGTCAAAAAAAAAAAAAAAGATTCTCTCTCTCTCTCAAAAAAAAAAAGATTCTCTCTCTCTCTCTTTCTCCGTCTGACCCTCACCCACCTGAAAGAAAGAAAAAAAAAAGGAAAGAAAAAAAAGGAAAAACTAGAAACAACCCAACCATGTTTCTTCGAATGCATGAAACCCTGGGGGAATCTCATTCTGCTGAGGCCTGAGGAATGTAGGTGTAATTAGGCTGTGGAGAGGTTATTATGTTTGGCGAATGTTGTTCAGGCAGAGGCAGAGACCAGAGGGGAGAACCTGGAGGATCCTCACTCAGTCCTCCCTCCACCTAACTTTAGAATGAGGAATCTGGGGATCTTCGTTGATTATAGGGTGTAAAACACAGCAATATTTTCAAAGGCCAAAAATATCAGGACATTTTAAATCTGTGCTGATAGAAGAGTGAAAGCTGAACCCCAGTCTCCTCACCCCCATGTGAAATGACTGTGCTCAGATGTCCATGTTGGGTGGGTGGAATGTCACTGAGCAAATGTGACACCCCAGCAGGTGATATTGTAGGCTGGCCTAAAACAGCCTGGCTTTGGGAGGCTAGTCTGAGCTGGCCATAGTGGTCTGGGCCGGGGGCGGGGTGGGGGACGGCACAGATACAATCACACCCCAAACCCCAGGAGTAGCAGCAGGGAGTTGCAGCGATAGGAACACAACAGACAGGAAACCTTCTGTTTGGGAATTGCCTGGGACAACTTTTTTGTCACCCAGCTGGTGGCCTTGAGATTTCCTGAGGAGCCTGGCTCCATACCATGGGCTCCATACCATGGGCTGGAGGGTTGAGGGCAAGGGGAGGGGGTGTTGAAGGTGGGGTGCCAAGGAGAACAAAGGCCCCGTGCCCTGATGCTGGGGTTTCAAGGGGACCCAAGGGGAAAGTTTCAGAGTCCAGTAGTCATTGTCATTTGTTTTTTTTTGTTTCTCTTGTCATTTTAGGAGCATTTCTGGAGTATTGACCAAACTGAATTTCGGGTCCCACCCAGACTGATCATTCAGATATGGGATAATGACAAGTTTTCTCTGGATGACTATTTGGGTAGGGCTTACATTTGGATACTTTTCTCTATGAAATTCTACTTGGAATTAGTGAAATCAATTAGAATTTGGAATCAATGATTTTAATCTCCAATACCATGGGTAATTAAGGGTTGGGCACACCCCCTGCTGGAAGCCCCGTGGGCAGTGCGGCCTTGCCCGTTTACTCTCAAGTTCTCTGAGAATTTGGCGTGGTGAACGGTGCCCTTTTCTGTGGCCCTCACCCACCTTAAGGGCCTAAGGAGGCTCTTGCACCAGCTCCTGTCCTGCAGTGAACACTTGAATTCTGTTTTCACAAGGGAATGCTGCAGCCCTGCCTCCAGTTCAGACTACCCACTCTGCCTCCTCAGCACATCAGATTTGGCTTCCTCAACCCCCTCCTCTGACTGCTCTCAATCCCCTAATGTCACCAGCCATTGTTCTTCCCTTCTCCCTGAGTCCATCCTCTGTGGTTAAAGGCACTAGTCAAACACCCCCCACCTTGGACTCTTCCCTTTCTTGGTATGCCCCACCACCATCACCACAATAACATAATGCCCTTCTGAATTCTCCTCTCCCAGGCCCTGGGTCTGTCTCACTGGCCTGCTCTGTTTTTCCCTCACATTCTTTAAATACAGGCCTTTGCCTTCATTCCCTGGGGTTCTTTGGTTCTTCCCCAAACCCCCTCATCAGCTTACCACCCCCCTCCTCAGTTGAAAGTAAAACTTCAATGTTCACCCTCAATGAGATATGACTCCTAAACCACACAAGTAGCCTGAGCGCTCAAAGTGCCTCTGTTTGGGGTAGCCTGAGACCATTAAGAAAGAGCACAGTCCAAATCTGCATTCAGCGGGCATCTAGTCTGTAGATGTTTAATTCTTTTGAGCTTGTAGAAGAGCTCTGTTCATGCTGGTATCTTTGAGAAATAAACCATGTTATCCTCTGTGAGACACAGAGCAGGGGACAGATATTTCTTCTACCACTTTCCATCCTATCTGGAAGGAATTTTAAAAGTCTACCAGGATCCCTTCCTCTAACTCACCCATCACCTGCTCAGAATCACTGTCTGCCTCTCCTCTGACAAGAACATTCTGTTCACTTGTGAACAAGCACCGATCCATTGAAACTTATTCAGGTCTAATTATTTCCTTGGCTAGGTTTCCTGGAACTTGATTTGCATCACACCATCATTCCAGCAAAATTATCAGAGAAATGCAGTTTGGATATGATTCCAGACCTCAAAGCCATGAACCCCCTTAAAGCAAAAACTGCCTCACTGTTTGAGCAGAAGTCCATGAAAGGCTGGTGGCCGTGCTACGCAGATAAAGATGGCTCCCGCGTGATGGCTGTATGAGTATTCCCCAGTCCTGGGTCATTCATTCCTTTTGTCAGTTAGGCTCTACCCTCTCTCAATGGATTTATGACAGATAAGATAAGGAAGTGTTACATTGGTAAGACCTTAAGTTACAAGAATGGTTTGTAACTGGGATTACAAGAGAAGGTGGCAGATGCCATGAGTATGTTTGGGGCTGTGTGTAAGGTGGAGGGATTGGAATGGTGGAAAAGCTGGTAGTCCGAGTGACTACACTCTGTTTCTTGAGGACCCTCTTTCACCAGGAAGGCTTTTATCCTGAGCTTTCAGTACAATTCAGTACAGGAAAAGGAACTTCAAACTCAAACTCTTCTTGTTTAAAAAAATAAATTTAAAAAGGTGGAGGAAGCAGGGAGCCTTGACACCCACTGGACAAGAAGGCTGAAACTTACAAGCAAGTTTGGAGAATTCCCAGATAAATCATGATAGAAAAGCAAAAGTCTGGGTCACCATGCCATGTCACAGGAGACTACCTCATTCATCATGTATTATTGCTATTAATAACAGCTAACATTCTAGATCATTGATTAGGAGCTGGAGAACATGCTAAGTGCCTCATGTTCATAATCTTGTTTTTGAAAACGACTTTGAGGTATAAACTGCACCCATTTATAGTGCACAATTCCATGAGTTTTGACTGATATAAACACCCCTAAAACCACCACCAGCATCAAGATCTACCACTATAGAGTAGTTTACACATAATCTCGTTTAGTTCTACTGACAATTCCAGACTAGACATTAGCTCCATTTTGTAGATTCAAGAAACAGGCTGGGATATAACATTTTATGTCAACTCTACTTCAGTTTTTTAAAAAAATGTTTTTTAGTTTTTTTTATTTAAAAAATAAACAAAACTACTACTGAACCAAGTAAAACAAAAACAAAACCCAAAAACAGGCTGGGAGAGATGTAGCAACTTGTCAGTCAGATACCATGTTTTGTCTGACTTGTCAGCATAGGAGTCATATGGCTCCATCATAAAATCGATTCTCTGAGTTGGGGTTCTCAGCATGTTGGTGACCTAGTGGGCATTCCAGAGTCCTAGAAAGTCATTTACAAGCCTGGCCATAAAAGTGGGCAACTTTCTAGATCTCTTTTGGCTTCAGCGTCCTCAAGCACATATAAGGGTCATAGCAATACCTGCTATATAGGGTTGCTGTGAGCATCACATGAGTTTACCCACATAGAAATCTTAAAAGGTGTCCACTTAGGACACCTGTATGAACATGGAGGCAGCATTCATTCATTCACTCATTCATTCGTGTATTCAAGTAGTATACATTGAGTACCCATGACATGCCCTCCCTTCTCCATACAGCGGGGCAACCATGGGTAAGCAGGAAGCCATGGAGAGTCTCTCAGAGCCTACAGTTAATGCTCAGTCAGTGTTACATTCTGTTCTTAGCAGGATTTAGGCTAACCTGGCCCAAATAAAGTTACAAAGGACAGTATGTGAGAAGGCAAGGAGATGGATATGAGAAAGTTAGAGGATGGGGTACAGAGAATGAAAAGCAGGGAGCAAGGGGAGGGAAAGCAATTTGTCCTCTCAGTTTCCCACAAGGGGTTGGTTCAGAAACACATGGAAAAGGAAATGCGATGAAATCTCTTGAGGAAAATTTAAGGCAATCTAGATTGTTTTACAAGAATAAAAATCATTGCTCAGGGAATACTCCTTGGGTTGAAATGAAAATATTTGTGAAACGTGATGTCATGTGTTTAACCTGTTCTGCTTTACTGAAGGGGAAAGTGGAGATGATGTTGGAAATCCTCAATGAGAAGGAGGCAGACGAGAGGCCAGCCGGGATGGGACGGGATGAACCCAACATGAACCCCAAGCTGGACCCACCAAAGTGAGAGGCCTTCTTTGTTCTCCACAATGTCTGATCCCCAAACACCTGCAGTCTGAAAGCCCCCCTTCCAATGAGCTTAATGCAATGGATTCAGTGGTGTCTTAATTTTGCACTAGAGGGGAGTGGGGGATGGTGAGCTTGGTGATCCGGCTTCATTTCAACCTTTCTCCTTCCCCACAAAACCGAAGTCCAGAGTATCTTTAACATCTTAAGAGGCCATAAAATGTTATGAATCTTTCCAGCCAATGATGAGGAATAATACCTTTTCCTGACTTTTTCAATGTTATTAATTATTCTTCAAACTGTATTAGGGTCTGAAGTAAAATATCTGTTCCACCCGACTTGGGTAGATAAAACCATTTCTTTGCAATGCAGCCGACCAGAAACCTCCTTCCTCTGGTTCACCAACCCATGTAAGACCATGAAGTTCATTGTGTGGCGCCGATTTAAGTGGGTGATCATTGGCCTGCTGATCCTACTGATCCTGCTGCTCTTTGTGGCCGTGTTCCTGTACTCCTTACCGGTATGAGTGCTTGGCCTCATGTCTTGGCTTTTTGTGTGTGAATTATGGTCAGTCATCCAATGTGGTTCTTGCCTTGGTTGCCTGCCACTCAATAGATGGACCTACTTAGCAGTTGTGGTATTGCAGCCCTCAGCCTGTGGAAAATTGAAAGTAATGTGTGTTGTGATGAGAATGACATTCTTAGGGTTGTATGAATTACGGGCAGAACTTCTTGGTTTGAAAAACATGTTGGTATCAAGAATTCTAGGAGAAATCCCTCAGACCTTTAGCAATGTATGTCAGGACAACAGCCAACATTTCTGACTTATCTTCCTGCCTTTACACGTTCTTGTCCCAAACCATCCTGCAAGCTAACTCCTTAACCCTAGCATTCACAGATCCCTGCATCTGGGCCCAGTCTAGATCTACATTAACCCTGAACTTTACCCCAACTAGCTAGTCCCTTCCCACCCCCCTGCAGATATTGCCCTTACCTTCCAGGATGCCTGTGCCAATGCCGTTCCCTTACCAGAGTCTATCAAAACCTTATTTGTTCTTTAAGGCCTGCATCACATAACCTCCCCTAATTTTCCTCAGTCACCTCAGTCATAGATGGGAGTCTAGACAGGAGGTTTGCTGGTGTGCCTAGAAGTCCTACTTTCATTCAAGGGATTTATTGAGCATCTGCTACAGGCTAGGAATTGGGATGTTGAGATCACCAAGGTATGATTTCTGCCTACCAGCAGTTCAGGGCCTAGGGAAAAGCAGGCATATGGATAAGTAAATTGCTAGGAAAGGCAAACTTTTATGGAGAGATGAACAGATGAGCATAGGATCCCATTGCTGAGGATGGTTTCACCAAGGAGTTGAAGTCCATTTTGCCAAGTGGAGAAGGGACAGCCTAGGCATTTAAAGACTTACTTTGATTCGTATTGGTAATAATACAGCTGTTTTTGTGTAGGGTAACATAGTCACAACTATAACAGCAGAGATATAGGGTTTCTATTTATCTCCAGTATAATACTTTGGTTGTCAATGCACACAGACGTCAGCTTCTACTTGTCATGAGTCCAATCTGTCTTGATCATTAAAAAAAAACTCACAGTAATTCCTTTTTACTGATTAGATTCTATTGATCTAAACCAACGATTCTCAACTGGGGGCAGTTTTGCTCTCGTGACGGTGGTTGGCAATTCCTGGAGACATTTTAATTGTCACACCTGAGGGGTGCAGGCCAGGAATGCTGCATACCCTGAGGTTCATGGGACAGTCCCCAGAAATAAAAATGTAGTTCCAAAAAATAAATAAATAAAATAATAATGTAGTTCTAAATGTCAGTAGTGTTGATGCTAGAAAAACTGAACTTCAATATTATTTTTTTAACATTCTTTCTGTTTTCTCTTCAGAATTATTTGTCAGTGAAGATTGTGAGGCCAAATGCATAGTGAAAGCGAAAGCTTCGTTGCAAGACATCCAGCAATGAGGGATTCTGTCTCTGTTTATGGCTGGGACCAAGAGTGATTTTGTTCATGTCTGACACTACATCCCGGTGGCTTGTTATGTTACTTCATCGAGGCCAGCAGCTACCGGAGGGTCTAGGTCCTGGAAAGTCAGGCCAATGAGCAACATTTGCATTTGTATACATTTGTATTTTGTTATCTGTTGAAATTACAAAATTTCTGCATCTTCATATACTTCTTATTTGTAATCAACAAAAAGGACTGTGCATTATAAAATAGAATAAGTTGGAGTAAAAAAAAAGAATAAGAGTAATTCTTATTTATGCCTACAACTATTTTTATGGTATTTTATATGGATGAATGTCATGAGACTCTATTCAATCTCTGTGATGAACCCAAATAAAAGCATTTCAACTTTGACATGTAGCTGTTTATTGTAGCTATGGGCTGAGTTGAGAAGGAGGCAGTTTCTAGTCCTCTGGGTTTCTGTGGATGGAAAGCCACCGCATACCACTTGGCCATAAACCTTTTATATGTGTGCTACCAAATCTTAGCCAGGGGGCCAAACTGAGGCTAATATAATAATAATAAAAGCTCTTGCTTATTAAACATACTTATTCTGTACACCACATTGTTACAAATGCTTTATGTGTATTAACTCATTTAATCTTCAAGATAATCCTATAAAGGTACATAACAGCAACCCCATTTTATAGTTGAAGAATTTGAGGCACAAAGGTAACTTGCATAAGGCCACACAATCAATAAATGGTAGAGCTGGAATTAGAACCCAGGCAGTCTGGGTTCTTTCCTTCATAACTTCTTAACCACAACACTATACCACCGATGGGAACACTGTCAAGAGGGGCATGGAACTGAATGGTCAAGTAAATGTAGGACAGGAGCAACCAGTGTGGCTTCATGCCGACATCAGACACAGAGCACCTTGTAGAACACTGTCCTGATGCTATCGGATTCCATGGCGAAATCAACAAACAGTTCATTTCTAAGAACCCCGGGGGAGCAAGATATGGTACAATAATGGTGTTGCTTTTGGACATTTAGACATTATATCACAATGGTGACTGTCTTATTAGCATTATTGCCAAGTTGTTTCACATTTTGAACATTTTATGTTCTCCCCCAAATGTTAACATTCTAAGTGTATTGAGAGACACAGCATTAACTAAATCAGAATGCTCCTGCGGGGTATTTACCTCAAAGATACTGATGTAGTGAAACACCAGGACACCTGCACTGCGATGTTTAGAGCAGCAATGTCCACAATAGCCAAACTGTGGGAGGAGCCGAGATGTCCTTCGACAGATGAATGGATAAAGAAGATGTGGTCTATGTATACAATGGAAGATTACTCAGCCATCAGAAGAGATGAAAACCTACCATTTGCTTCAACGTGGATGGAACTGGATGGTATTATGCTGAATGAAGTAAGTCAATCAGAGAAAAAGACCACCATCATATTGTTTCACTCATATGTGGAATATAAGAAATAGTGAAAGGGATTATAAGGGAAAGGAGGGAAAGAGTAGGAAAAATGAGAGAGAGACAAACCATGAGAGACTTATAACTCTGGGAAACAAACAAAGGGTTGCAGAAGGGGAGGTGGGTGAGAGGATGGGGTAACTGGGTGACGGGCACTAAGGAGGGCACTTGAAAGGATGAGCACTGGGTGTTTATTATATGTTGGCAAATTTAATTTTTTTTAAATCAAATGGCTTGCCATTTCCCCGAGGCACCTTGTACTCTCCTCCCTGAGCCTGGGCAGGTCTTCTCCCAGCCGAATGCCTCTGCCAACCTGCACTGGTAGAAGCTCTGCCTACCCTTGAAGTTCTGGCCAATACCTCTTAGGCCCCAAAGTGATCTTTCAGTATCAGATGCAAAAGTACTAGTACAACCTTCCTGGAGAGAAATGTTAAAAGCCTTAAAAATGTTTGTGCCCTTTGACCCAGTACTTTTACTCCTGAGTATTAACTCCAAGGAAATGATCAGAAAGGCAGCCAAAGGTTCGTGTACAAAAATGTATGTGACGATATGTCTTATAATGGTACAAATCAGAAACAATCTAAATGCCCAAATATAGGGAAATGGTTGAATATATGGTAAAATCCCTATATCAGTGCAAAGATGAAAATATATCAATTTTTAAAATTGTGTTACTGACATCGGAAAATGCTGATATGTGAGACACAACCAAAAAAATCATAATACAAATATATATAAAATAAGTCCCAGAATACATGTGTGCCCATAAAGAGATGCACTAAAATATTAGCAGTGTAAGGAGTTTATGCAAGACTTATATTTGTGCATATTTCAGTAATTTATAAAAATAAATCAACATTGGAGGCTCATGACAATTTTTCTTTCCCTAAAACGAAGAGATCAAGTTTGACAAATGTTGCCATGCTTTGTTATAGCCTCACCTTGTAGCTATAGAGGTGTGGCTTGTTTTTGCGACTGGCCGTAAGCTCCTTTAGGACAGAGGTAACAGCTGTAAGATCACCCCAGGGTGCCTCAGGGCAGCCGGCCTGGATCTGTATCTTGGTCATGCCTCAGACTCATCTGCAACCTGGGAACAATAAAGCTTCCATCACTGAGTTAAGGTGAGGACGAATGGAATCGTTTATGTCAAGCACCTCGACGTATCTGAGGTCTGGCGGGTATTCAACACTTAGAAGCTTTCGGTATTACATCAGACTGGTAAAAATCTGATGTCCTAGTTCCAAAAGCAGATAAAAGCAGATTCTTTTCCAAGACTCACTAAATTGGAGAAAAGCAAACTAGAAGACTGCCTTCTACTTCCTCAAGACCGAGAAAGAAGAAAGGGAAGGAGGAAGGAAAACAGGTCAGTTCTCCCCTCTCAGGCAGTAGTGTAGAAGCCAGTATGTGTGTATGGTGGCAGGGACATCTGCACTCTTCCAGTGCTTTCAGACTGCTCCAGGTTGGGGACCACTGGGCCCTCCTCACTATGGGGTTAACAGGTGTCTTCCTGGCTCTCATTCCGAGCAGCCAGCTATTCATGAGCTAGACTCCTAACCCTCTGGAGTCCCATCGTACCTACGCCCAAATTGCTACTTTCTTAGGACATCACATTATCTCCCTTATAATTAACAGAAGATCTACAGCTTTCAGCTAATTTAGGGGACACTTGTGATGTAAGGGAGACAATTTCACTTAAAGTGAAATTTTCTTGGAGAAAAAATAGTAAGTTCCACAGAAGAGCATTATTCCAGACAAGACTGTTATTTTGAATATTTAACAATCAGTATTGCACTGACACCAGCCAATCAGAACAGATACTTCACCCCATCACAATGGAGAATGGCTATTAAACCCTAGACCTGCCATACAGTGTGTGCAGGTTGATTATCAGCCTTCCTTCCAGGGAACCCCAGCAATCAATACGCTCTTGCCCAGTGCCTCACTCGAGGAACACAGGCATACCTAGGAGATAGTGTAGGCTTGATGAATACAGCAATAAAGTGAGTCAAATGAATTGTTTTGGTTTCCCAGTGCATCCAAAAGTTAAGTTTATGCCATATTGTAGCCTATTAAGTATGCAGTAGCATTATGTCTAAAACACTAATGTACACATCTTAATTTAAAAATACTTTTGCTTGGGACATCTGGGTAGTTCAGTCGGTTAGGCATCTGACTCTTGATTTCAGCCCTGGTCATGAGTTCAAGCCCTACACACTGGGTGTGGACCCTGTTTAAAAAAAAAAAGTAAAAATAAAAATACCTTTGCTCCACGCTGGGTGTGGACCCTACTTTAAAAAAAAGTAAAAATAAAAATACCTTTGCTAAAAAAAATGCTAACCATCATCTGACCTTTCAGAGTCATAATCTTTTTGGTGGTGGAGCAAAGGGTCTCGCCTTGATGTTCATTGCTGCTTACTGATCAGGGTGGTAGCTGCTGAAGGTTGGGGTGGCTGTGGCAGTTTCTTAAAATATGACAGTAATGAAGTTTGCTGCACTGTCTTCCTCTCATGAACGATTTCTCTGTAGCATGCAATGCTATTTGACAGCATCTTACCCAAGGTAGAACTTCTTTCAAAATTGGAGTCAATCCTCTCAAACTCTGCCTCTGCTTTATCAGTTAAGTTTGTGTAATATTCTAAATCTTTTGTTGACATTTAAACAATCTTCATGGCATCTTCACCAGGAATAGATTCCACCTCAAGAAATTGCTTTCTTTGCTCATCCATGAGAAGCAACTTCTCATCTCTGACAGTGTTATCACACGACTGCTACAATTTGGTCACATCTTCAGGCTCCACTTTCAATTCTAGTTCTCTTGCTCTTTCTACTACATCTGCAGTTACTTCCTCCACAGAAGATTTGAACTCTTCAAAGTCATCCCTGAGTGTTGGAATCAACTTCTTCCAAACTCTTATAAACGTTGCTATCTTGACCTCTTTCCATGAACTATGACTTAATGGCATGTAAAATGGTGAATCCTTTCTGGAAAGTTTTCCATTTATTTTGCCCAGATCCAGCAGAGAAATCATTATGTGCGGCAGCCGTAGCCTTACAAAGTGTATTTCTTAAATAATAAGAATTGAAAGTCAAAATGACTTCTTGATTTATGGGCTACAGAATGGATATGGTGTTACCAGGCATGAGACAGCATTAATCTCATGCATCTCCATCACAGCTCTTAGGTGATCGGCTCTACTGTCAAAGGGCAGTGATATTTTTGAAGGAATCATTTTCCTAAGCAGTAGGTCTCAAAAGTAGGCTTAAAACATTCAGTAAACCCTTATGTAAACAGATGTGCGTGTCATCCAGGTTTTGTTGTTCCATTTATAGAGCACAGGCAGAGTAGGTTTAGCATAATTCTTAAAAGCTTTAGGATTTGTGGCATAGTAAATTGGCATTGGCTTCAACTTAAGTCACCAGCTGCATTAGCCCCTAACAAGCGAGTCAGCTTCTCCTCTGAAGCCAGGCATTGACTTCACTCTAGTTATGAAAGTCCTAGATGTCAACTTCTTCCAATGTAAGACTATTCCCTCCACATGGACAAATCTGAAATCTGCTGTTGAGTGTAGCTACCTTCGTTATCTTAGCTAGATCTTCTGGATAACTCACTGCACTTCTA